GCAAAAGCTCCGACTGCTTACCCTTCTGCTCGGGTTTCTCCTAAGCAAACTCTACCAGCTTTGGAGGTGGTTATTTCCAGAATCAAGTCATTGTCTCTTCTCACTAGTTCAATGTGGGGAGAATCACCCCACGGAACTACACATGATTAGACAAGAATATCAACCACCCTCTGGGTTGTTATTTCCTCTAACCACCAAAACAATAGTAAGTAGCCAATTGTTGGACACTTACTATATGCTGGATACCAGACCCCCCCAAAAAAATTGCATCCATCAATTTATTATTCTTACCAACCTGAAAAAAATAACTATTCTTAGTCTTCTTCTACAGAAACACTTAGAGACTTTACAGGAACTGCCCCAGTTCACTTCTAGAAAGTGACAAAATTCCATATGGGTGGGCCTGACTTCAAAGGTAAGATGATATGATAAAACCTTCTCAATCAGGGCATCAAATACCTTCCAACTTGGAAGAGCCTCTTTAAAAGCCACGGACAAATTAACTCACAAAGGCCCACGGTCTGCAGAGCCTGCATCTCCAAGAGCTTCTATCTGGTATAAGACGTCAAGGAGCCCTGTTCCTTCCTTCACAGCAGGAAGCAAATACTCACACCATTAAGTGGCTGAGAAGATAATGAACCCACTCGTTGGACAACAGCTAATAGTTTTTTAAGTTTCCAGAAAAATAATTACAGATTCCCGGGGCCAGGAAGAATTGCTTTCAATCAAGACAATCACAGTTTCTAGACAAGACTTTCCATTTCCCAGGTTCAGTGTGGCCCTGTCGCCTTCACGCAACAACCACACCTCAGCTGAAGTGCCATCTGGTGACCCCAGGACCTAGCAGGAGCCCAGCACTGGCTACTCCCAGGGAGGGTGACAGCAGCCACCCCAGAGAGACACAAAGGCAGCCTTCACTCTCTCTTGCTCCTCCCATCCGCTGCCAGCGGGAGCAAACATGGCCCTTGGGGGTCCGTGGTGAGAAGACCTAGAGGAGGCCAGCAGGTGCCACGCTTGAGACAATGAGCTTCACTTCTGCAGAGCCAGCTCGTTCCAGCCAAAACAGCGTCCACCCCAAAGGCAAGTGGGTGGTCTGCTGAGAAACCAATTCCCACAGTAGCAGAAAGGAGCAGAGGCAAAATGTTTGGTGGAGAGAGGAAAGAGAGATCCCTGTGTCCATCAGATTAGTGGAGGGTGATGTTGCTAGAACTGCCATGTCCACTATGACTCACAGTGAGCCCGGAGATAACAGACCAGAAGCAGCGCTATCACACCATATCCTCATGGTCTAAGTCCCCCGCCGCAATCACTGTGTCAATCCGTCCATTGAGAGTCTTCCTTTCCTCCTACTTTTCCCAGTATGATGTCCTTTTCCAAGGACTGGCAACCCTTGATAACATGCCCTAAAGTGGATGGCACAGTAAGACCCCCTCCACGTTCGTCCTTCCCCCCCACAGAGCTTCATCCCAGACAAGAAAACGGGAACTGAGCCTCTCCTCATTTTCCCATCTATGATTCTGCCTACAAGTCCCAAGACAATCTTTAAAAGATAAAAATGTTTCTTTCACCCAACCAGAAAGTTTCAAACAACTGGTTATTTGGTACGTTTGGGTTTGGGATTCCCCTCCCCCCAGCAATCTTTCTTATTCAACTGAATGATTCCATTATTTTTAAGATGTTTGTTTGTTTAGGGTTTTTGTTTGTTTGTTTTCTCATTTTTAATTTTTTTCTTTCTTTTTTAAATTTTATTTTATACTGGTTTACATGCAAAGTTCATATTTTTGTGGGGGGTTTTAATCAACTTGTGTATTCTCATCCCTGTGGCTATTTCTGGACTCTCATACGAAGGACTGGAATATCTAAAAGCTTAACTCCTCCCATCAGATCCATAATTCTATTTTAACATTAAATATTACTCCTCTGGCCATCCTCAAAACTAAAGAGAGCATTCTGTAAGAATGTGAAGAAACTAATATACAGCAGCAAATGTTCAGGGTTTTACCTGCATTTTAAATATTCCAGTTTCTTATAGTGCTTTGGCTGGTTTACCAGTTGGAGAAGGAATCTAAAACCAAATGCCTGGTTGTCAAACAGCATCCCAGGGGCCACCTCTGCACTTTCAACAAAGTCCATAACACTGGTTGTGGGTTCCACGTGGCACTCACACTGAAATTTCTTGTGACTGGATTGAAAATTCCCGTGCCGAGATTCTTCTCTGAACATCACAGTGGCATGTGAAATATGGATTTCCAACATTTACAACCTTGGGAAATGATATCCCCACCAGCGCTGCCAATAGCCTTGTGGGCAGGGGCTGGGGGCCACTCAGAGGCTTCCAGTCAGGGCAGGACACCACTAGGCTGCATCGACTCACACAGAACCCTAACAACTTCCCTCAGCCCTCGAGCACAAGGCCTGATAGAGGAGGACACGTGCCTGATATAATAGCACATGTGGATTCCGGGCCTCAGGAGAACAATTATATCTAACTCACACCCTGACCTGTGTCTCCTCAAAGATGCATATGTTTTACAAGAGCTGCTGTTTTCAAAATTCATATCCTTTATTATTACAATTTCTTTTCAGCAAGATTTTGCATGTCTGTGATATTAAGAATAGTGCCCTATCATTTCTGCCTTATGCTGGGCCAGCTTTCTTTGGAATGGGAGCAAATATGAATTGACAAGAGTGGCTGGGGGGAAAGGGCTTCATCTCAGAAGAGAGCGTGATGTTGGTGATGGACTGGCCAGGATATCATTATGTATGATGTAGACTGACTGCCCTGTAGCTGACTCAGCGGCATCTAACCACAAACGTGACAGTTTAGAGCAGGCTAATGGAACTGTGGTTGTTGTTCGGTGCCGTCGAGTACAGTACAACTCATAGAGATCCAATGAAAAACGGATCTGAACCCTGTTATTCTGTGCCATTCTCACCCTGTCTGGCACACGTGAGCCCATTGCTGCAGTCACTGTCTCAGTCCACCTGGTTGGGGGTCTTCCTGTCTTTTGCTGACCCTCCACCCTTCCCAGCATCATGTCCCTTTACAATGAACAGCCCCTCCTAGAATACACCCAAAGCATGTGAGATGAAGCTTTATCATCTTTGCCTTCTCTGGCTGCAACTTCTCCAAGATAGATCTGTTTGTCCTTTGGCCATTCGTGGGCTGTTCAGTGCTCTTCTCCAACACCCCATTAATTAAGAAGAGGCATTAATTCCTCTTCTGCCTTCCTTAATCATTGTCCAACTCTCAGCAGCATAGTGAGTGATTGAAAAGACCATGGCCTGACTCAGGCACACCTTAGTCCTCAAACTAACATCATTGCTCCTCAGTAATTTGAAGAGATACCTGACTACAAACAAATAATACATCTCCTGAGGAGGAAAAATGAATCACTGTATGGAGCTAGAAAGGCCTTCCTTGCATTCAAGTCAGCATTAGATATTAGGAGGGGAAATTATAAGCAAAAGCAACAAAGTATATGTTTATCCTTGGCATGGACTCTGTCTCCCTACAACCCTCTTCCCTACAGATCTGGATCTGTGTTCAGGTCTCGTCACTAGACCACACTGTCACCCATGCGCACACTCGAGGCAAAGGCTGCCTCCCTTCCCCATCTCCCCAGTGGCTTCCATGCCTCCTCACCCACTGCAGGTGCCCCGTGGATGCCGGCCGGATGAATGACTGAATCACTGCCCAGTGTCCATCCTCAAACCCTGACTTTCCTCTTCCTGTATTCCTTATGTTTAATTACAAGATGTCCATGTGAGAAGCTTCTTAAAACACATCCTTGCTGCCCTCATCCCCTGGAACTCTGACTCAACTGATCTGGAGCGGGGCCTGGGCTGAGTGTTGCTGTTGTTAGATGCCATCAAGTTGGCTCCAGCTAACAGCAAGCCCCTGACCCACAGAGGAAGCCCTGCCGATTCTGCACACCCTCACAATCTCTGTGGTACTCAGGCCCCCCAGCTGCGAAGGGCTAACACATCATTGGTTCTCAAAGGACTCCCATCGTGCAGCCTGGCCAGTCACCACGTCTCCTTTGTCTTTCTGGTTCCTCTAGTAGATGTTTCCTGTCCTTAAAATCTTCTTCTCCTTCTTTTTTTTTTTGGCCAGGAAATTAAAAGACTAATTAATTGCATTGGAAAAGTCTGCTGTTAGGGACCTCTCCAAAGTACTGAAGAGCAATGGTGTCACTCTGGAGACTAAGGTGTGCCAGATATAGGACATGGTCTTTGCAATCACTTGCTATGTGTCAGAGAGCTGGACAATGACTAGGGAGGATAGAAGGAGAACTGATGCGTTTGAGCTGTGGTGCTGGAGAAAAGTATTGAATATACTTTGCAGTCCACTGAATGGTTTGCCAAGAAAATGAACACGTTCATCCTGGAGAGGGTGAAGCCAGGCTGCTCTTTAGAGGCAAGGATTCTGAAGCTTCGTCTGACATACTTTGGACATGTTGTAAGTAGGAACAGGTCCTTGGAGAGGGAAGTCATGCTTGGGAGGGTGGAGGGACAGCGCAGGAGAAAAAGACCCTCTAGGAGGTGGATTGAGTCAGTGACTGGGGTAATGGGGGTAGGTGTCTCAGAGACAATAAGGTTGACACAGGACAGAGCAGGGTTTAGGGCTGTTGTTCATAGGGATGCGATGAGTCGCAGGCGACTTGATGGCACATAACAACTTGTGTTTTTAGTTATTCTCATAGATTCTCAAGTCATTCCCTTCAGTGACTCCCAAAAACATGACTTATCTCTCTTTGCAAAACTGCCTGGGAAACCCATCCATTAGAAAGTGAAAGCTTCAAAGAGCTCCAGAGATCCAGTTTTGGGGAGCATCTTTCCCTCTGGGTCCCCCAGGCTTCCTTTCACACATCCCTTGAACTTTGAGGAGCATCTTTCCCTCTAGATCCCCCAGGCTTCCTTTTACACATCCCTTGAACTTGACATGCCTCAGGTTCCCTCAGAGATGGAGAAACAGACAGAACAGAAAGCTGGCTTACCCAGCAGAATGAGCAAGACGCCAGCCAGCTGGGCCCGCCTGTACTTGGCCACGCCAGGCTCATGACCCATTCGGATGCAGGGGAGAACCGTGAGCAGCAGGAGGATGGCTGGGAGACCGAGGACGGAGGCGGCGATCATCAGGGCCCGGCAAGCCTGCACGTAGCCTGGGAACAGAAGGGCAAATGAAGTGGGTTAGGCCAAGGTCCTCTGGCTTCTGGAAACCCACCACAAGGGAATTCAGCACCTCCGCGGCTCCATCCCCTGGGTTTAGAAGGTGTTAAATGCTGTTCAAGACTGCTACAACATTTTAACTAGAGTTCAACATTTAAAGTACCTCACAATGAAAAAGAGAGGTGAAGGCCAGAGGCAGGAATAGGATCCTGGGTTTAGACCCTCAGCCTGGCTTCCAGGATGAAGGGGGTCATGAGCTCACTGACTTCATTCTGTCACCTTGAGAGAGCCTGAGACTAAAGCTGGAGGCTTCCAGGAAGCTCCTGTGATGGTCTGAGCTGGTTCCAGTCAGTGTGACCTATGTGACCTTGGGGAAGATACTGAGTCTCTGTGTCTTACTTCCTGCACCTACAGAATGTAAATAAAATTAGCACTTACATCTGCCTAACACAATGCTAGTGATCACTGGATTAGCAACTTCACGCTGTGCTTAGGATAACGTCTAATGTTTTAGTTTTGACTGTAAAACACTCATGTCACCGGTTAGCTACCATCGGTGTAGCCGCCGGGGAGTCATCAGGCCCTGACGGATACAAGGCTCACCGCATCCAAGCAGCTCACCGCATCCAAGCAGCTCACCGCATCCAAGCAGCTCACCGCATCCAAGCAGCTCACTGCATCCAAGCAGCTCACCGTCAGGTCCAAGGTCTCCTTATGATCAGAACCTTGCAACCTACAGGGTAATCTATCCACTCTGTGACTTTGGAAAATAGATCTGCCAAATAGATCTTTCTAGCCTGAAACTCTGCTATACTGTGTTCATCATCAAAGCGAAAAGCAAACCTCCACTGACCGGTGGATAGTGGTCACATAGAGGTGCACTGGCCAGATTTGAACCTGGGTCTCCCGCATGAAAGGCGAGAGTTCTACCACTAAACCACCAAGCCCCCCCCTCCTGTCAACTACCAGGGGTGTGATTACTCTGTGTTAGTGCCAGGTATTTATCTCCAGGAACACCTGGTGATTCGGGGTCCCCCAACCTTGCACTTGTGATTCACATTGTGCGCTATTAGTTTGCAGCTTGTAAACCAGCTTAAGCTCTGACTCAGGCTTCCTCTACATGGTATCTGCCCAGAGGCTGTTGTTACCCTGGTGAGTCCTGTCCTGCCCCCTAAAGAATGTGAGGCTCCAGCAACCCACGGAGCTCTGGTTCTGCTTCCCCAGAAGTCCTCCTGGCACGACAGCTGCTCACCCGGCCTTTCCCCAGGCCCCAGACTCCTGGAGGGCAGACACTGGCTTGGGTTTTCCTGAGTTAACGCAGCACCCACACAGAGGACATAAACACACACTTCTGGGTGGAGGAATAAATGAGTTATATAATAAAAGAGTGAAACAAAACTACACGGACTTCATACTGCCAAATCAAATACAGCTTTATTAAGAAACAGATTCTAATATAGACAATTGTGGTTGTTGTTGCTGTTGATTGCCATCAAGTTGAGCACGACTGATAGCGACTCTATGAACAAAAGACCTAATGCCTTCCCATAGGTATCGTCATTTATCAAAGTTCATAGAGTTTCCAGAGGCATGTGGTTTAGGAAGTGGATGCCACTTCTGCTTCCAAACCTGTTTGACAGCTGAGAGCTCCACCAAACACTGTCCACACTGGGAAACCATTATGGCATTTGATACCGCCATGGCATTTGATATACACATGTCAAATTGGGCCAGTTCCCTGAAGAAATCACAGATTAAACGCATCGTTTTTAAATGTTGCTTCTCATTATAACATCCCTCCTCCACATTCACCTCCATCCAGAAGAAAAATTGCACTTACTTCTCTTCCTTTTTTTTTTCCTATGAGGACATAAGAGCTGGTGGCCTGGGTGAGCCTGAGTTAACGACAAAGCCTGGAAAGGAGCCCCATTTCTGCATTAAACCCCAAGACACCTCGTAATATCAGCCTGCTGTGTGCACTAAAGTCTGCATTCATCAGTGTCTCTTAGTAAAATGGTTTTTGTCAAAAGGCCAACAGACTCTTCTTCTGAGCTTTCTTCCAAAAAGCTTTCATTTCCATTTCTTTCTTTTTTTTAATTTTTTTAATTTTAAATTTTTTATTTGTGTGTGTGTATGTGTACCGTCAAATCAAGTTTGACTGGTACAGGAGGAGACTGTTCCTCCTTCCCCGGCAAAGAATATGGTGGATTTGAACTGCTCACCTCTGGGATTGCAGTGCAGCTTCTTGCCACTAGGTCACCAGAGCTCACCACATTTCCATTTCTTCAGAACTAAGCAATCAATCCCATCCCCCCTGACTCCAAGACCCCTAGAGGGAAGTGATGAGAGTCAGTGGCTTGACCACAGCCCTCCAACTGGCAGCTTCCAGGAGGGCGGGGACCAGGACAAAGGAGACAGTCAGCCAGCAAGACAGCTGAGGGCCCGAGATGTATGGCACAGACTGTTCATGTGCTTTGGTGCCAAGGCCATGTTCTGAAATCAAAAGATAAAGGCTGAGGCCCGTCGCCATCCCCGCCCAAAGTGTGAAAAAAGAGAAAAGCAGGAAGCTTTAGGCCCTTCCGAAAAGACACCCCCCCACCCCCGCCCTGAGGAGGACTCCAAAAATAAACTACTCAGCACTAAATGCTTAATTTGAGGTGAGAGAAACAGAGAGTAATGTTAGGGTTCCATCAAGGTCCCTCCAATAGCAATCCTGTATTTTAAAAATGATGGCTACCATTTATGGAGCATCAAAGGAAGTTTACAATTCTTATCTCGTTTAAGCATCCCCCTAAAAAAACAAACAAAACACACACACACACACACACACACACACACACACAAAACTCAAATCTACCCTTTAAAATAAAACAGAAGGTAGATTTAATTCTCTTTTTTTAAAAGAAGATGTGGGGGTAAGAGAAGTGTCTTAGAAATTAGACAACTTTCCTCAAATCACCCAGCTTATGAATGTTGGATATCAGAGTCTGGCCTAGATCTGTGGGCACTCGGTTACCTCAAGTTCAGTTCAGACCTGATGTGCCCCCAGCTCAAGCCAATCTGCAAGTTCCAAATGGTTTCAGACGAGTGAGAACAAGCCTGACATACACAGTGCACCCACCGTGGTCCACGAGAGAACTCGGAGAGACTAGAATGTGTCCTTATGACCTGGTAGTTTGCATAAACACAGTGGAAGAACTAGGTTCAGGAGCAGAGAACAAAAATCAAGATGAAATGCTCCAGGCTGGGGACAAGAGCTGTGAAGTCCAAGGCCCACAAGGAAGAGAGGGTGTTGGGGAAGAGGACTTGGGAGGACCAGGAAGAAGGCACAGTGAAGGGAACCTTCACGATGGAGCAGAGACTCCAGGCAGTGGAGGGCTCAGACTGAACAAACGGTTAGCAAAACAACTCAATGGCCTGGAGTCTGGCTCTCAGGGGCTGTAATGGGAAGAGATTGCCCACCTTTCTTCCTCAGAGCAGCTCGTGGGTTTCAACCACCTGCCTTTGTGCAATTCCTTACCCACTGGGCCACAGAAACTCCTGGATGAGGAGAGGAGGGCAGGCCTTTCAACAAGCAGGGTGCGTCATTTCTGAGATGCAAAGGATTACTTTCCAGAATAGATACCCACCTAGCACAGGAGATCTTTGCAAATTTGTCCCCGAACTCACTCAATGCAGATTTTGAAATATGCATTGAAAAAGCATGCCAATTTTTTTTAACCAGGTCAGCAAGTGAAAAGGGGGTCCTGGGCGACCACAATTCCTCCCTCTCAGAGATGAAGCTGGAGGTAGGGGGTGGAGAGCTGAGCAGAAAGAAGAAGCAGGGGACATTCTGCAAGGCATTCTCCCTCTGTCTAGACCCCCACGTCCCCTTCCCCCGTGCCCACTCTTCCCAACACAACCCCAGTGACCGAGGTTGGGGCAGAAGGGGTTAAGGGCGAATTCTGGGTTGGATCGCACACTCCAGGGCAGGGAGCCTCACAGAAAGAGGGTGAGAGAAGTGAGGAAGAGTCAGGTCCTGCGCAGAGGGCGCAGACTTGACCTTCACTCAAATGAGCAGCCCTGAGATGTCTTTGAAAGTGAATCACTGGTAGCCGACCCAGCAGGACTAGAAAACCCCTAGCCTAGTCCTAGACCAGGTCGCTGAGGCCGTGTCAGCCCAAGTGGCCCCAATACTTCCATTTCACTCTTCCCACCTCATTCTGGCCAGTGGGGTTTATCCGGGAAGCAAATGGTCAAGGAGGGAGGACAGGACGGGCTTCTCTGTGAGTCAACAACACAAAATATAAGAGTTAAGGGCGTTGGTTTACATGCACTGAAGTCCTATAAAGGGATCTCTGGTAGCCTACTGCTAATAAAGAAACTGTGCTGCAAACTCAAAGGCACACAGTTCGAATCCATCAGCCATTCAGCGGAAGACGGAGTAGCAGCGTTGGGGGCCTGGTCAGTAGGGACACAAAGGCCAACCCAAAGGCGGCACCTCTCTGGTGGTTCGGATCCAGCCGCGGCTCTGTGAGATCAAGAGGTGCGATCTGCTTCCGTGCCATTTACAGCTTTGCATCAGTTCCTAATCCACCTCGATGTCGTCGACTACTTTTACTACTCTGTGTCTTTCTCAATTCATTAAAGTCTCCAGGTGACCCTGCGGTTGGACACTACTATTATGCCAAATTCCAGGAAAGAGAATTGAGGTAGAAAGAGGTTAAGGTCGCGCTGTCTGACTCCTTCCTCTGCAACAAGTTGGAGCTAAGAATGTGAAAAATGTGCCCAGATATTTCGTGTTCATACTTTCGCGAATACATCTTAATGCCCCCTCCCGGTCCACCCAGGGGCTAAAGTTAGGGGCAGCAATCCCCAAAGGCATCTGCGGGGTCCTTACCGGGCAGGATGAGGATGTCCACCAGGGGCTTGCAGTGGTACAGCCCGGTGGCCATGACGCAGTCGGCCCACAGCCCCTTGGAGCCCAGTTCGTCCAGCTTGCGGCAGGTGGGGATGGTGTAGCCACAGGTGACCACCCAGTCATTGGTGGACGTGGTGACAATGATGCCGATCCAGCCCACGAAGCTCGTGACGAACCCCACCACCTGCAGGCACGTGGCCACCATGGTGGCCTCCCCAGCGCCTCGTCCCTCGCTGGCTGTGTCCCGGCCGCCCGCTGGACAGCACCCGGCCTGGTCCGAGAGCCGCTAGTCGGCGACAGCCCGAGGCGCGCGCGGCCCAAGCAGCGGAGGGTCCAGGGAGCGTGAGCGCAGCTCCGACGGCGCACGGACGGCGAGGAGCGCGCGGCTGGGACAGCGGAGCGGCTGGGCAGCGCGCCCCCACCCCCCTCTTTAAACTCGGGAGCCCCGGGCGAGGGCCAATCAGAGGCGGCCGGGGCGAGGTGGCCAATAGGGGGGCGGGCAGTCCCCCAGGGCGGGGGCGATGGGGCGAGCGGCGCTCGGTGAACGCGCAGAAGTCAAACCGTTGCGCCTAGAGCGCAGCACCGAGGGCGCGCAGAGGGCGCATCGGAACAACGCTGCTTTGCTTGCAAGTCCTCCTTCTCTCACTGACTCTCCTTTTCGTTCCAAGCTCCCCTTTCCCCCACGGGTAGCCAGAACCTGGTTACTCCGGGACTGCGGGGTCCAGCTCTCCGCAGGCTCGTCAGAGGAAGTAGAAACATGCCCCTGTCCCGAGCGGCGCAGGGTTAACAGCTGTGTGGTTCTACAGCCCCCTGTCGCGAGTGGCGCAGGGTTAGAAGCTGTGTATAGATACATTTCCCACCCCCCCCCATCCCGAGTGGCGCAGGTTCAGGAGCCGTGTGTGGATACATCCCCCTCCATCCCGAGTGGTGCAGGGTTAGAAGCTGTGTGTGGATACATTCCACACACACCCCCCGTCCCGAGTAGCGCAGGGTCAGGAGCCGTGTGTGGATACGTTCCTGTCTTCTCAACGATGATCAGAAGCAGCGATGGCTGCACCCGTCGTGACAATAGCACCTCACATACATGTGCAAACAGTTAACAAGGTGGCTGCCAACAGAAAGGTTCATTGCTCACCTGTGAGAAGAAAACCTGGCGATCTCTACCTGAAAGAGTTGAAAAGAAAAGGCATCCTCTTCAAACTCACCACCTCTGAATCGGGAAACACTCGAGCTAACTCTCCAGCCACCCGCGGATTCGAACAGCCGGAGAGGTGAAGCCTTTGTTTCAGCAGTAGCTCCCTCCACACCAGGTGCTCAGAGCTCCATTGAAAACCCCAGGGAGCTCAGTAAAGCAGTCGTCTCCCGGCAGCTGGGTTTTTTGCACGTACACTAACACGTGTTATTTCATTCTCATCGCATCCTTCGAGGTAGAAAACAATTGCCATCTCCAAATAGTACACAGGAAGGACGGACAGGAATCCATTTCTCTGGCCCGTCTCAACCCCTCACTGAACAATCTGAGAACTTGTCCTGATGATGACCATTTTCTGAAAATCCCTACACACTGAAGTGTCCTGATTCTGGCACCTTAAAGACCATGATGACTACTTGAACACACTGAATAAGTTAGATCCTGACCCTGAGGAAAACACCTCGCAGCCAGCAAGAGAAGGGGTGCTGCAAGTCTGCGTTGGTTAAGGTGGTGTGTCCTCAGTGTCATGGTCACGTGATCATACCCCTTATGTTGTAAATTCTAACGTCTATGATGTTGATGAGGTGACTGGAAGAGATCTATATTT